TCAGGACCCAAGGCAAAGCCCTAGAGCAGTAGTTCTCAAAGACTATCAGCAAGCCACTACCTGGGATTTGCTAGAAAAGCCAATTTTGGGGACCCTAAACCTACTGAGTCAGAAACTCTAAGGTAGAGTCCTGCCATCTGCATTTTAACAAGCACTCCAGGTGATTTGGAGGCAGGCTAAAGTTTGAGAACTAGGGCCTTAGGAGCCTAGAGCAACAGGCTTTTATGGAGCACAACTATGGTATTATCTGTCTCAGGGAGGCAAATGTGTGTGTTCTTAACATGTGTACTTCAGCTGGGCTTGCTGGAAGCAAAGAGTCTGGTTTGAGTTGGGGGCACGGGGATTAAGGACACAGATTTCTATAAAGCAATCAAATGAGAAAAAGGACTGTTTCCTTTCCAGGGCAGGATCCCTGTGGTTTGAGTATGAAATCCATCTCTTTGGGTTTTTCAAGCGGATTAGCAATTTTGACATCTTTCCACTCCTCCGAGCAACACAGTGTTAAGTGGATCTCTTAAAGGATGAGCCTGGTGCTTGGCTGAAGCTGTCACAAAGTGGTATTTCTCACAGTATTTGCAGAGGCCCTGGGAAATGTTAACTAGTGACTCAGTTTGCTCTTTGATTTCAGTCTTCATGGTTGAAAACCTGTCTGAAATGCATCTGTCTTTTTGCCACTGTAGAGGCTAGAATAAAATCCAAAGGAGCAAAGTTTGTGAATGATTTTTTATTTTTACAAATCAGAATGGGTTTAGGATATAGCTCTGTAATGTCACTTTTACTCACTCGCATTCTGATTTGCTTTCTTGACAGAAAGAGATTGGGATGCTTGGAGTTCCTTCTGGCTGCTGGGATTTGCATGTGATCCCCGACATATAATATCTGTGACACACGCTGGTATGCGTGTCTGTAGCTGATGTCCTATTAATAGCTGATACATGAATATCATTTGTTGGGTGGGCAGATACAGGAAGTGTGGCACAATGTAAATTCTATGAAGACAGGGCTGGTTGATTCAATGTTTTATCCCTGATACCTAGAACAGCACTCAATAAACATGTTGAACGAAGGAAAAAAAGTTATAATTGAATCCCGGATCACTCAGAAATCTACAGATTCAGGGTCACCAGTCTGAGCATTAATTCTCACCATCTGGGGCCCTAAATACAGCATGTGTAGGCAGCACTGGCTGCATAATTTGTTGGGGCCAGTGCAAAATAAAAATGCAGAGCTTCTTGTTCAAACATGAATAACTGTGAGACAGCATTAGCAGAGTACTCAGCCAAGCATGCCACTCTGCTGAGTGAGGAGCCCTGTGCTCCTGCACAAGTCACAACCATGAAGCCAGCCCAGCAGGTGAGGAATGGGACAAAATTTTATCAATCCTGGTAATTTTCTGAAAATGGCTTTAATTTATTTTTCAGAAATCCTTGAAATGACCATTTATTTTATTTTGAGACAGAATCTCACCATCACCCAGGCTGGAGTGCAGTGGTGTGATTTCGGCTCATTGCAACCTCCACCACCCAGGTTCAAGTGATTCTCCTGCCTCAACCTGGAACTACAGGTGCCCACAATGATGCTCAGCTATTTATTTATTTATTTATTTATTTGTATTTTTAGTGGAGACAAGGTTTCTCCATGTTGGTCAGGCTGGTCTGAACTCCTGACCTCAGGTGATCCATCCTCCTCTGCCTCCCAAAGTGCTGGGATTACAGGCGTGAGCCACCGCGCCCGGCCAGAAATGATCTTTTTATGTAGTTATTTTTCTCCTTTTCCATGAAAAAGAAGGCAACTTTAAAAATGGAGGGTGTCTGTGATAGGATGGGATTATCCCAATTCTTCTCCAACTCTTTGGAATGTATCCTTTCTTTGCCATGTTGCTCTACAGTGCCTCCTACTGGAGAGACTGGAGTATATTTCCCCACTTCCTCATGTCGGGCTGGGTCATGAGGCTTGCTTCGGCCAATGGAATGTTCGTGGGCATGATCAGAGGCTTTAAATGTGCTCATGTGGTTTGGCTTTGCTTCTCAGGCTCTGTCCTTTACCATGAGAACTGCCCTGGGTAGCTGTTGGCTCAAGCAAATGATAGAAATATGGGGTAGACTTGATCCCAAGCAGCTGCTCCAGCTAACCTGCAAACCTACATATAAGGATGAAAAAGAAATGCTTTTGGTATGCCAACAAGGTTTCGGAGTCATTCATTACACAGTATTTACATAACAGAAACCTAAGAAGGTATCCTTCAGGAGGGTCCTAGTAAATGAATATCGACCTATGTTTTTTTAAACTTTGAGGATGCTGAAAAAGGACAAAAGAGATTTTCTAGAATCAAAATTAATGCCAAATGCTGATATACAATCCTGCTGAAAGACTGTTTAGCCTGATGCTCAAATCAAGTCAATATGCCATAAACAAACTCAGTGCTAAGCACTTTGCAAGCTTTAATTCAAGCAATCCTCCAGTAACAGTATAAATGCAGTGGCTAATATTGTCATTTTCAGCTGTGGGAGCAAAAAATCAGAGAGGTGTAAGTAACTCAGCTAAGGTCACACAGCCTGGAAGTAGTAAAACCAGGTTGCCAACCCAGGTGGGATGGATCCAGAGCTGCACACTTAAATCACCATGCCTTGCTACATCGCCATCAAAAAAGCAAGGGCCAGTGGCTTCCGCCTGTAGTCCCAGCACTTTGGGAGGCCAAGGTGGGCAGATTACTTGAGGCCAGGAGTTTGAGATCAGCCTGGGCAACATGTCAAAACCCTGTCTCTACAAAAAATACAAAAATTAACCAGGCCTGGTGGCTTGCACCTGTGGTCCCAGCTACTCGGGAGGCTGAGGCTGGAGAATCACTTAAGTCTGGGAAGCAGAGGTTGCAGCAAGCCAAGGTTGTATCACTGCACTCCATCCTGAGCTAGAGTGAGACCCTATCTCAAAAATAAAAAATAAGGGAAGGTCCTGAGGAAATTCAAGGTACTTTTTTTTTTAATCTCTGTCCTGAACTTGACTTCAGGCCACGTCTCCTTCTGTCTGCTCATTGATGATCAACTCAAATACCTGTTGCTTTGCTCTTGCCTTCACCTACACCTCGAGTTTGATGGTCAATTAGATGATGCTCCCAGCTTCCAGCAGTCCAAACTTCACAGTCCTTACCTAGCATGATGTGTCTGAGGAAACTGAGCCAATGACCCACTTGTTTACATATCCCAGGGCTCTTTCTCCCAGGATGTCACTATCATTCCCAACCTTAAACTAGGCCCGCAGCACTGTGAGATACAAAATCCTTCAAGGTATGTAGGAAGGGTTTGCAAAAGGGTAATCAGGTTTATGACTAACGCCAATAAGACTGAATGCCCTTGCCTTTCTAGACTTCTCTGAATGCCCTTCAGCCAGGCTCCTTGGTGACTGTGTGGTGCATGAGGTCATTCCTATAGCATGAATATATTAGAACATGGTATAATCCAGACATTTGTCATTCTTCCTCAAGGTCATTACATATGAGCAGGTCTCTTTGACATTGCTGTAATATGCCTTCAAGGAGGCTTAATTTATTGAGAGCTCATACAGATTTCAAAGAGACTGTATTTAAGACAAGTAGAAAAAGGATATTTTTTCCTTGTTACAGATGATGTAAACTCCTAGCCAGATTCTAATTTCCTTGCAGATCCTAAACTTACCAAGAGAGCTTTTTTTTTGGACATCATTAAATAGATTTTATTCTAGTTGTCTTTATTTGTTTTTTAGAGATTGCAAATATCCCATAGAATCTCCCTAAAGGAGCAGCAGGAGCAAGAGGCCTCATTTTTAGGAAAGCCTGTTCTATGCTTGGGCAAAGGTGGACACATCAGCTCCTGGTGCACAGTGGAGAGGAAGGATATTCACAAGACTTAATAGCTGGTCCAGAAAGGGTTCTGATCAATCAGGGAGTGGCCCTGTTCCTGACCCATTTGCTAAACAGATGCGCTGTGATCAGACTGGCTCATCAGAAGGGAGGCATCTCTTTCCCAAGAATCCCAGTCCGAGGTCCAAGGCTATCCTTGGAGGGAGCCACAGTTGTTGGGTTGAACTGATTCAGAATATATGGTCTGAGAGTAGAAAGGGAAGGTTCCCCGTGGTAGGCAGAATAATGTCCTCAAACCCACCCCAAAGAGCCCTATATGGGAATCCCCAGAATCTATGAACATGTTACATAGCAAAGGGGAATTAAGGTTGCCAGTCAGTTGACGGTAACATAGGGAGATTACCCAGGGTTTTCCAGATAGGTGCAATGTAATCCCAAGGATCTTTAAGAGGAGAAGAAGGAAGTGAAAGAGGAACCACCAAAGAGAAGGCAGCATAAGAGGGATCTGGCGTGTGGTTGCTGGCTTTGAGGTAGAAGAAAGGGACCGCCAAGGAACACAGGCAGCCTTTAGCAGCTGAAAAAGGCAATGAGAGAGTCTTCCTATGGCCCTCAGAAAGAACACAGCCCAGTCAACACTTTGATTTCGGCCCAGAGAGATCTATCTCCAGAACTGTAAGATAATACATTTGTGTTGTTTTAAGCCACTAAGTTTATGGTCATTTGTTGTGGCAACAATAGAAAATAAATATATTAGCCAACAGGAAATTAGGGTGCTCTTACCAAAATGAGGAGGAAGATGCTGGGCAAGCCAACAAAAAGAGCAGAACAGATGTGTACTGCAGACGAGATCTCTGCGAGCGCTTGTTCTGTAGCTCCCTGGATGGAATTTTCCCAGGGGAGACAGAATACTTTCAAAGTATCCATAGTGGTATGGACCCCTTCCACAAAGCAAAAGCTAAGCTCACAGCACCTGTCAGCAAGACCAGAAGAACTGGAGTTAGGAGTTGGCCTCTGGAGGCCCTCCACACAGGTTGGAAATTAGTTCCCTGATTCACCAGTTGGGTAACTGGGCAAGTTACTTCGACTCTCTGTGCTTCAGTAAAATGAAGATGATAAATATCTGATGGCATTTTCATGAGGATTGCTGACATTTATACACATAAAGAAATAAGAGGGGGAAGGAATCAAACCCCCAAGACGGCGGCGGCGGAGGAGCGGATGGCAGAGGAAGGAGGCGGCTTCTCTTTGGGCGCCGGCTCTACCCAGCGGCAGCCCCCACCGCCTCCGCCACAGCACCCGCAGCGGGGGTCCCAGGCGGTCCCGGGCGGTCCCAGGCGCTCCCAGCGCCGGCGCTGGCTCCAGACCAGCTGCCTCAAAGCAACACCCTTGTGGCGCGGCCCATCGTAGCCATTGAGAACATCCTCAGCTTTATGTCCTACGACGAAATGAGCCAGTTCCGTCTGGTTTGTAAAAGAATGGACTTGGTCTGCCAGAGAATGTTGAATCAGGGATTTCTGAAAGTGGAGAGGTACCATAATCTATGTCAGAAACAAGTTAAAGCACAACTCCCAGGGAGAGAGTCAGAAAGGAGAAACCATTCATTAGCTCGTCATGCAGACATTCTTGCTGCTGTTGAAACAAGGCTGTCACTATTAAATACGACTTTCATGAAATATGTGGATTCCAATCTCTGTTGCTTCATCCCAGGAAAGGTGATTGATGAGATTTATCGCGTGTTGAGATATGTCAATTCTACCAGAGCCCCTCAACGAGCTCATGAAGTACTTCAAGAATTAAGGGATATATCATCCATGGCAGTGGAGTACTTTGATGAAAAGATTGTTCCAAGTTTAAAGAGGGAATTACCAGGATCAGATGTGTCTGGAAGACTCATGGGCTCTCCTCCAGTTCCAGGACCGTCTGCAGCCCTAACGACAATGCAGCTCTTCTCCAAGCAAAACCCTTCACGACAAGAGGTTACCAATCTCCAGCAGCAGGTTAAAACGAATGGTGTTGGTGTGACTGTTGTCAGGCGTGAAATTTCTGAGCTTAGCACCAAAGTGCAAGAACAGCAAAAACAGCTTCACGACCAGGACCAGAAACTGCTAGAGCAGACCCAGATCATAGGTGAACAGAATGCACGGTTGGCAGAGCTAGAACGCAAATTATGAGAAGTAATGGAAAGTGCTGTAGGAAATTCCTCAGGGTCTGGGCAGAATGAGGAGTCCCCTCGGAAACGAAAAAAGGCTGGGGAAGCCATAGACTCTCTTAGGAAATCTAAACATCTTTGGAATAGAAAGTAAATTGGAGTGTGGTTCTAATTCCAGAGGAAGACATGGCTTAGCAGCTTAAGCAGTTATGCATATCACGATACCATGAGCAACATGGTTTCCTTTAAGCTTCTAGGCCTTCACAACATAACTTTAACTTGAACTCTTATGGTTGGGACATTCTTTTCCCGCTTCTCCTGATTGAACTGATGCACAGAATCTTTTTACTTTGCAATAGATTTGTACTAACCAGACCTGTTCTATCACGTTTTGAGGAGTTAACTTTTTTCTGTGCAGTTAATGTTTACAGTAAGTTAATTTGTTTCTGCATATATGCACATACATAAGGATCTTAAACCCAGTCTTGACAGACTAAAAGTTAAGTTAAATACGGAAAATGTCCCGTTCACTTGAAAGAAAAGACCTACTTTTTAAATGGACACTATCTTGATTTTGTTTTTGTTTTTGTTTTTGAAGTCTTTTTGTTGTAAGTGGCCTTTGTTTGGAATGTCTGAGAAGTAGTTAATGCTTTTTGGTATTGAAGTAATGGGTGACTAAAATGGACTTCCATAGTATTGACTGTAGAAGGAGCCTCTACAGTATTGACTATATATTTTTATAAACTATTGGCAAGGAACTTATCCAGTTGTTATACATATTTTCAATTCTCTTTGGGGGCCATGTCCTACATTTGCATGGATGGATGCATGTGTTGCCTAATCAACTCACTTAAAAAGCTCTTGCACTGGTATTGGTCTTGAACCTCTACTCCTCCACTCTAAGCAGCGTCTTAGTTTATTTAAGCGCTCAACATCTTCCACCGCAACAGCTTGCCTCTAGAGGGGAAATTGTTCGTCCATTTGTCCTCCAGTTTTATAGGAACAAGCGACTATTAAAGCCCATTGCTTCATTCTCTGTAGGGTTCAGGTACACTGGCTAAGGCAGATCCCCAAATTCCAAGGCTCTTTCTATCAATATTGGACCTCTGGGAGCTAGTATTCTGCTTTGCTCACCACTGTGTGCTCATTGATCAGTTGTGGCGAGTGCGTAGGGGACTTGACTTGCAGAATGCAGTTTTGTCATTGCAGCAAAGTTCATTGAGGAAAATTGTACCATGAAAAAGCATTTTGATTATATCATGTCTGAGGGATGACCTTGAGCGAAGCTTTTTCATATTAGTTTCAAGCTTTCCTTATCCCACAACTTTAAACAAAAGCTTTAATTTTGTTTGCACTCCTGTTTTGAGCTTGTAACTGGAAAAGCATGTCTTGCACTGCTCAGCCTCTGGAGTGGTCACTTTAACAACCTCCAAATTGTGTACAGTGGTTGTTCTCCCCAGTTGTGTAGTTTTGAGACATTCAATTATCACTGTCTTCGTTGTATTTTAATTTACTAAATTATGTAGCAATTTGACTGTTAAGTTCTTTTAAACAACTGTTGCCTTGGGCTGCAGTTATTTTAAGTAAATTTAGGTATAATATAGAAAACTATCCCTTTCCAGGTGGGAACTTAACACCTGTATAAAACCTAAGGTTTTGGTAAGTACCTTAGTTCAATAAAAGCACAAGGTTATCACCTTTTTTATCCATCCAACATGACATGGTTATGCATCCTTTAGATTAACCTCACCAGATGAAGCTTTTTCTATCTTTTTTTTTTTTTGAGACGGAGTTTTGCTCTTGTTACCCAGGCTGGAGTGCAATGGCACGATCTCGGCTCACCACAACCTCCGCCTCCTGGGTTCAGGCAATTCTCCTGCCTCAGCCTCCTGAGTAGCTGGGATTACAGGCACGCGCCACCATGCCCAGCTAATTTTTTGTATTTTTAGTAGAGACGGGGTTTCACCATGTTGACCAGGATGGTCTCGATCTCTTGACCTCGTGATCCGCCCGCCTCGGCCTCCCAAAGTGCTGGGATTACAGGCTTGAGCCACCACGCCCGGCCTCTATCCATTTTTAATATTGTCCTTACATAATATTGTCCTTAGATTTTGATCCATTCTATGTCTGACTTTGAAATTTCATTTACAATGCAGTATGTTTTCAGTGAAAAACCGTAAAATAACATCTGAGTGTTTCATGGTTTGTTGGGAAGGTAATTTTAAAATAAAACAATTTCAAAAAAAAAAAAGTAAGTAAGAAGAATCACTTCTGGCATATGGTTAAGGCTCAATAAATGTTAATGGTTGCCATTGTGGTTAATACTATAACCTAGCTCTGGAGCCAGACTACCTGGGTTCAAAGCCTGGCTTTGCCACTTAGAACTTCTATGCTTAGGCAAGTCACTTAACATCTTCGAGCCGCAGGTTTTTTCATGAGCCTCCTGAGAAGCTGAGACTAGAGACATGTGCCACCACACCTGGTTATTGTTTTTACTTTTTGTAGAGACGGGGCCTCACTGTGTTACCCAGGCTGGTCTTGAACTCCTGGGCTCAAGCCATCCTCCTACCTTGGCCTCCCAAAGTGCTAGGATTATAGGCATAAGCCAATGTGTCTGGCTTTATAGGTGCTATCTTGAAGAAGGGCTCTTGGGCAAGGATGCAAGTAAAGTAGAATAGGGCAGGGGAGAAACTGGGCAAAAAGGGAACCACAGCCCCAGGCTGAAGCCATCTTAGGTCTAGAGGGTGATTGGTGTCTGTGGTGTAATACAAAATGCGTATTTAATCTTGGTGTTCCCAGCATCGACCTCCTAACACCCTTGGAAATTACTCTGCTAATGAGATGACTCTTGCTGGGGACAGGAGGCCTAGGTAGCTTTAGGATGGGCCCTGGACACAAAAAAAACCAACCACATACTGAGAGACTGAGAGAGCTAGAACGTCCAGCCTTGCTCTCTCACCTTTGAGAGCAGGAGAGGGGCTGGAGACTGAGTTCAATCACCGATGGCCAACGATTTAATCAATCATGCTTACTTTCTGAAACTGACATTTAAAAATCCCTACACGATGGGGCTTGAAGAGCTTCTCTGATTTTTTAAAATTTAACTTACCCAGTAGAGTTGTGATGAGGATTAACACATTAATATATGTAAAGTACTAGAACAATGCCTGATATCCACAATACATTTATCTAGCATCATCACCATTAGTAGTAGTATGAGGTCATCATCACTCTGGAGAACTAGCAATGAAAGCACCATCACCTTGATGATGCAGTGACATCTTATTTATTATTAAGACCTTTAAGGTTGGGAAGAACCATGGTTCCCAAACTGTGGGGACCTCTGGGAGCAACATTATCTATCTGCCTATCAGAAACTCAAATCATGGAAGCACCCCGGTGAGATGCTATACAATATATGAAAAGCAAAGAAAGTGGAAAAATTCATCATTAGAAACACTTGTAAGACTCCTGAAAGGATGTAGAGAGAACCCATCTACTATTTCTCTGCTCCTATTTCTCTGCTCCGCAGTTCTACATGGTTGCATTTGCCTGATGCTTTTGATTTAGTGTTTTTACACTATGTAAAACAGTGAGAACATTAGGTTAAGGAAGCTTGCCATTTTCCTTTTTAGAGCAGTTCTTTCAACAATACCAAGAATTCACACTTTGGTAGATAATGACAAGAAATACGACAGCCCGGTAGTAAACAAGCAAATCATTTAATGGCAAAGGCTGATTTAATCAAAACATTCTGGTTCTCCCTCATCTGAACCCACACAAGGAATGAACCAATCCAACTGGAAAAAAAATATTTGTTTTATCTTTGCCACATTTATTTACTCTTAAGTACTGTTTAACTTGATCGGACAGAGAAGTTGGAAAGAACAAAAATACTTAAGGCAGCGACCAGCCTCCCATGTTGCTGGCAACAGGCAGGAATACCATGGCCTGGAGGTATTTCCACAGGGACCTGTTTGCGAGCAGTTTCTGAAGTTCTTTGCCCTCATCTTGAGGGGTGGAGAAATGACCTGCTTATGTGGCAGGTTTGCAGGGCAGGGTGTGCAGAATAAGAACTAGAGAAAATAAGTCAGGAATTTAATCCCTGCTCTGTAAGTGATTCCAAAATATGAAATAGTTATTTTAAAAAATTACTGAGAATTCTGTATGTGCAAGGCATTGAGACAGTTGTTACAGGAAGGCACAGATAAAGTAGAGATGGATTCGACCTCAAGAAACTCTGTCAAATAGGGCACGAGAAAGACCCACAGGTACCTATGGGATGTAGCAAGCCCCAGATGTGTTTCATTTTACTTTCTTTTATTTTTGAGATGGAATCTTGCTCTGTTGCTCAAGCTAGGGTGCAGTGGTGTGATCTCAGCTCACTGCAACTTCTGCCTCCTGGGTTCAAGTGATTCTCCAGTCTCAGTCTCCCGAGTAGCTGGGATTATAGATATGTGTCACCATACTCAGCTAATTTTTGCATTTTTCGTAAAGATGGGGTATTGCCATGTTGGCAAGGCTGGTCTTGAACTCCTGACTTCAAGTGATCCACCCCCCTTGGCCTCCCAAAGTGTTGAGATTACAGGTATAAGCCACTGCATCTGGCCTCTAGGTGTGTTAAATAGGAATCCCTGGAAACAGGGCTGGAGATGGGGCTTGTGTACAGGTATTTTCTGTTGGAATTTTTTAAATTTATTTTTTTAGCGACAGGGTCTCACTCTGTTGCCCAAGATGTGTTCAGTGGCATAATCTTAGCTCATGGCATCCTCGACCTTCTGGGCTCAAGCCATCTTCCTACGACAGGCCTCCTGAATATCTGAGACTAGAGGCGTGCACCACCACACCTGGTCAATTTTTTTAAAATTTTTTATAGACGCAGGGCCTCACTGTGTTACCCAGGCTGGTCTTGAACTCCTAGGCTCAAGCCATCCTCCTACCTTGGCCTCCCAAAGTGCTAGGATTATAGGCATAAGCCAATGTGTCTGGCTTTACAGGCGCTATCTTGAAGAAGGGCTCTTGGGCGAGGATGCAAGTAAAGTAGAATAGGGCAGGGGAGAAACCGGGCAAAAAGGGGACCACAGCCCCAGGCTGAAGCCATCTTAGGTCTAGAGGGTGATTGGTGTCTGTGGTGTAATACAAAATTCGTATTTAATCTTGGTGTTCCCAGCATCGACCTCCTAACACCCTTGGAAATTACTCTGCTAATGAGATGACTCTTGCTGGGGACAGGAGGCCTAAGTAGCTTTAGGATGGGCCCTGGACACAAGAAAAACCAACCACGTACTGAGAGACTGAGAGAGCTAGAACGTCCAGCCTTGCTCTCTCACCTCTGAGAGCAGGAGAGGGGCTGGAGACTGAGTTCAATCACCAATGGCCAATGATTTAATCAATCATGCTTACTTTCTGAAACTGCTATAAAAATCCCTGCATGATGGGGCTTGGAGAGCAACTCTAATTTTTTTTAATTTAATTTTTCTCCAATTTAAAAAAAGAATCTTTCCCTCCCGGGTTCCAGCAAATCTCCTACCTCAGCCTCCTGAGCAGCTGGGACAATAGGCATGCGCCACCACGTCTGGCTAATTTTTGTATTTTTAGTAGAGATGGGGTTTTACCATGTTGGTCAGGCTGGTCTCAAACTCTTGACCTCAGGTGATCTGCCCACCTCGGCCTCCTAGAGTGCTAGGATTAGAAACATGAACCACTGCACCCAGCCACCAGTTTATTTATTAAAGAACTTGAATTTACTTAATGTGACTTATGTAAATATTTAATAATTTATGCTTGAAAAATGCTTGAATTACGTAATTTTATGTCGGATGGAGTTTCGCTCTTATTGCCCGGGCTGGAGTGTATAGTGCCATCTCACTCACCACAACCTCTGCCTCCTGGGTTCAAGAGATTCTCCTGCCTCAGCTCCTAAGTAGCTGGGATTACAGGCATGCACCACCATGCCCAGCTAATTTTGTATTGCTGTGTTGTTCGTATTGTCAGGCTGATCTCAAACTCTCAACCTCAGGTGATCGGCCTGCCTTGGCCTCCCAAAATGTTGGAATTTCGGGCATGAGCCACCGTGCCTGGCCAATTTTTCTTTTTCTTTTATTTGAGGCAGAGTCTCATTCTGTTGCTGAGACTGGAGTGCAGTGGCACGGTCTTGGCTCACTGCAGCCTCTGCCTCCTGAGTTCAAGTGATTCTCCCGAGTAGCTATGATTACCGGCAGGCACCGTCACACCTGTCTGATTTTTGTAGTTTACTAGTAAAGACGAGGTTTCACCATGCTGGCCAGGTTGTCTCGAACTCCTGGTCTCAAGTGATCCACCCACCTCAGCCTCCCAAAGTGCTGGGATTACAGGCGTGAGCCACTGCAACCGGCCCACAACATTTCTTCTAAGGGTGAATCATCCTTGTTTTAGAAATGGGGATCCCGAGGCTCAGAGAGGTGAGTAACTTGCATATCGTCACTCAGCAAGCAGTAGGATCTGAGCCTTGGTCTGTTGGACCTCCAGGCTGCTGCTCTCCATGGCCACATGGTCTGGTCACCTTCATGCTTTCTCCTTAGCTTCCCTGTTACTTAGCAGTTCTCAAACTCCAGGCTGCAGCAGAATCACTGGAGTGCCTCTTTAAGTAGATTTGTGGCTCCCACCATGACAGTTTTGACTCAGTTGGTCTGTGCCAGCCAGAGCTATGCCCAGCTACATCATTTGCAGGGCCTAGTGCAAAAGGAAAATGCAGGCGGGGCATGGTGGCTCATGCCCAGTAATCCCAACACTTTGAGAGGCCAAGGTGGGTGGATCACCTGAGGTCAGGAGTTCGAGACTAGCTTGGCCAACCTGGCAAAACCCCACCTCTACTAAAAATACAAAAATTAGCTGGGTATGGTGGCACATGCCTGAAATCCCAGCTACTCAGGAGGCTGAAACAGGGGGTGGAGGTTGCAGTGAGCTGAGATCAAGCCACTGTACCCCAGCCTGGGCAACAGAGCAAGACCCCATCTCAAAAAAAAAAAAAAAAAAAAAAGAAAAAGAAAAAGAAAAAGAATATGCAGAGGCCTCATCCTAGGATGGGGAAGTCAATTTCCCCTTCCCACTGGCTCAGTGCCCCAGTCCATAGCAGACAGGTCACCTTGCCCACCAACACTAATTGCAGTGTCACACCAGGACATGCTCAGCTCCTGGATCAGGGTTGGGAAGAAGCCCCTGCTAAGTAGTCCACAGATTGAGCTGGTGCTGTCACCCTAGAGTGGGGCAGCCACTGCCTGGCCCTGGCCTAAGCACCATGCACACAACCCTGATCCTCTCTGTGTTTGTGCCCAGACCCCCACCAGGGGCAGAGGGCAATGGCAAACACAAGCCTCTCTCATCAACACAAGCTGATTGCCCCATCGAATGGAGGTGAGAGGGGAGACCCCCTCCCCTCTTCCAGCTTCCCGACCTCCACCTCCTTCTCCCCTCCAGATGAGAAGGAGGGTGAAAAAAAAAAAGAAATAAAATACCAAAAAGCTGAGAAGATGACTCCCTTTTCAGTTCCCAGAAACTCTACTGTCCGTTAGCCTTGAAAGAGCTGCAAATGAATGTTTCCCTACTGGCTGGAGCACGGCACTGGGTCACACCCCCACATCTGCACAGCCCAAGCTCCTTCCTGGAAACACCTCTGCCAACCAATAGCTTACTGCCTTTGACTTGTCTCCGTAAGCCCCCTCCCTTGCCGATCCTGCTCACGCTGCAAATGAATTAGCAAATCAATGAAGCCAAAAGATTGTAAGGTTGGACATCCAGCAAACGGACAATGAATAGTTTCACCTCAGTTTCCCCTTTAGCATTATAGGTCTATAAAAGGGGAAAGAAGCTGCTTATTGGGGAGGTTGGTGAATAAGGCTGTAGCCTCTCTACAGCTCCTGGCCAAATAAAGAGCCACTTTCTTTCTCAGTTCGGTGTTTGAGAGGTTTGCTTCTCGCTGCTTCTGCTTCAGAGGGTGGCAGTGATCACAAGGGAAGGTGGGGAAACCAAGTGGGGTGTGGAGGATGGGGTACAGGTGCTGAGAACCCAGGGTGGAAAGGGGAGGTAGGACCCTGTGTGAGCCGTCTCCAAACCCCCATGCTTGCTCCATTGTCCAATTGGACTTAGGAAACATGAATTTGAAGGTAAAATTCAACTTCAGCTTCAAGACTTTGTGTGGCTACACTGGTTGCACACCCATGAATTCAACTCTGGCCAGAGAATATTTGCATTTATAGCAAGTTCCCAGGTGACCTGAGAATCACTTGATCTCTCCTTCCTTTTCTTTTTCTTTTTCTTTTTTTTTTTTTTCAAGACTGCCCAGGCTGGAACTATAGGTCCTTTCTTTCTTTCTTTTTAAAAAATTTTTTCCTTTGAGATGGAGTTTCATTCTTGTTGCTCAGGCGCGATCTTGGCTCACTGCAACCTCCACCTCCCGGATTCAAGCAATTCTCCTGCCTCAGCCTCCCAAATAGCTGGGATTACAGGCACCCCGCCACCACACCTAGCTGATTTTTGTATTTTTAGTAGACAGGGTTTCACCATGTTGGCTAGGCTGGTCTCGAACTCCTGACCTCAGGTGATCCACACACCTCTGCCTCTCAAAGTGCTGGGATTACAGGCATGAGCCACTGCGCCCTGCTGGTCCTTTCTTTTAAAAAGGCCCAAAGCATTGCGCCACAGTGTGACTTTCCTCCTTTCCTCGGTAAAATGGTGATGCTAATTCCTGCCTCATAGGCTTTGGCGAAAGGACAAAGGGAAGAATTCCTGAAAGTGCCCAGCACAGGAGTTAGAACAGAGCTCATACTGAGGAAATGTTAGCTGCAGCACTAATAGTAATGGTCCTAATTATTCTTGCTACCACCACCTCCACTTTTGTTTGGGCTGTTGTGTCTGATGCCTTTTTCTGTTTCTCCCTATTTTCCCTCTGCTGTCTTCAGAAAAAGAACCAGAGAAGTATAGGGGCGGGATAGGGCTAGGAAAGGACAGCTCAGGTCAGAGCCAGTTATTGCCAAAAGCCAAATCAAGAGGAGATATGTAGGCCAGGCCCGGTGGTGCACGCCTGTAATCCAAGCACTTTGGAGGCCAAGGTGGGCGGATCACCTGAGGTCGGGAGTTCAAGACCAGCCTGACCAACATGGTGAAACCCCATCTTAAAAAAAAAAAAAAAAAAAAAAGAGGAGCTATGTAAAGATGCTGAGATTTGCCAGAACAAACTGAAAACTCAGATCCTCTGAAATAGGCCCTGGAGGGAGAAATCTGAGAGTGAGGAGAATGCAGGTAGACCATTGCATCCCATCATTCCCTGGAAATTGAGTGTCCAGTCTATAACAGACACACAAATATCTCTAAGGGGTAGAAAGCTCCAAGTGTTCTTCAGAGAAGGACAGATCAAGTCCTGGAGATGGAGCTCCAACTCCCATGGCCACCCCCACCCCAAGCCCCATCCTTTCAGGAGTGAGTGGGGAGGCACCTCTTTCTCTTCAACGTTTGGACCATGTTATGACATTCAGAGCACAAGAGCCC